AACTTGTGGCTTTTCATTTTGCATATTTCTTGCTAACAGTGTTTATCCAGGTAGCACAGATGGGGCATATCATTTGGCAAGCTTTCCCCTAAGCTTTTTACAACAAGGATGATAACAGGTGCAAGATAAGGGATACAGACAAAAGCAGGAGTTCATTACAAATACATTTGCATCCAAAGCAGCAGTAGAAGGACTTGGCTTTCACTTATCTTAAAAGCACACACTTTGCGAATTCCATTCAAATATTCACAGTATTTGCATTTGATACTGTGTGTCACACCAGACAACAACATGGGACCAAACTACGTTTGTGTAGGCTTACACTCCTGTGCAAGGGTGGCCAAGTAAGTAATCTCTTCTCATGGCAATAGGGAAGTTTTACAATGGGTGCTGAAAAACTAGAGACAAAATTCCGAGGAGAGTACATTGTCCCCCAGAGAACAGGATTTTTGAAGGAACTTGTTAGATTAATAGCAAAGGCTTCTTAAGGTCTAAAGGTCTTATTTTGATCCCAAAGTTGATGTTGGACAGTTAAGATGCACTAAAGACTTGAAAACTTGGCCTCAAGTTCTGTATTCATGTGTTTGTATGTTCAAAGAATGTGGCACAGCTATAGAGAGGTTCCTGATCAGAAACAGTCAGTAACCTACAGCAAGGAGAGGGATGAAGTTGATTAGCTGAAGCTATTCCTTATTCTGAACTACTTTCTGTAGAAGTCCTATTTTAATCAGCTGTCTGAAAAGAGATGAGACTAACCTAATGTCCTGGGTTGACGATATGATGCTTTTATTCCCAATTGTCTTGTTCTGTTTATGCTGAATAATAAGTTTTGCACCTTTAAGATTTGTTCCAGAGAGTGAAGGGGGGAGAGAAGAATTTTTTCTCCCGGACCGGTTGTGGAGAGGGGCCGATTGAATCTGCTTTTCTAGAGGAGCCCCTTTGGGGATTCTCTCCCAAATTTTCTCTGAACTAGGACACCTAACAAAAGATAGGTATCAAAAGGTTGCATAAGACACTGTTTCACTCACAAGTGTGCATGCAGTTGGAAGCTGAAGTATTTGGAAGTCAGTAACATCTGGCTTTTACTTGATGGTGTATGTAAAGTGTATTGATAGATCCATCTGTTTCATGGGAGTGTACCTGAATCCCAGGTAAAAGCCCAGGAGGCTTGGGAATATCAGATGAGCAGCCATTCTCATTGAGTGCAGTGGCATTTGCCCATGGTTGGCAAAGGTGCCAGTGGATAAGGAAGAATTGCTGTTTCCTTCCTCTCTGCAGGACAGTCACTCCAGCCCAGTCCTGCAGCACAAAGCCAAGGAAGCTTGCAGTGGTTCTCACTCTCTGTAAATCACTGAGACCTTTGTCTCCCACTGCTTTTAGCATGCCACCTTGTACAACCCCATTTGTGCCTGAAACTGGGAACTGAAAGAGAACAAAAATAACAATAAATAAAGAGAACAACAATAACAATAAATAAACAAAGGTTTACCAGCAATTCATCTACAGAGAAACATACCAAAAATTAAAAATGCAGCAGCAAACGAAGATGAAACCCTTTCACTGCAATGTCCTTTGGGATAGCTTTTCATCTACTTCATAATTAAAGACTGAGATGTTTAAAGCATGAAAAATAGGGAAAATGTTTTAAAGTGGCCCAGTATTTATTAGCACACACATTAATGTATTATTCTTTGTCCAGGACTTAAATGACTGCCATTAAACTAATTTTGTTAGTGTTCTCCTTAAACAAAGATTTTTGGTTGAATACTTTTAGTAGTTCAGGTAACAATAACTGCATGTGCCTGTTCACTGTGGCATGGAACTCGACAGGAAACACTATCGTTAGCACACATGGATTTTTCCTTGACTTTGATATTGGAATTAAGCCAGGATTATTCAGAAAATGAGAGAGAGGAAGATTATATCCTTGGCCATGTGAGTGTAGAGAATTGTCAGATCACTTTCTGCTCTTGTTGCTAGAGATGAGGGATCCCAGTGACTGTCCCCCACATCCCAGTTAACTCCCCAGCCTCCAGTCCCTGGATATTCTGGGGGAGATCTCTCTCCTCCCTGCTCTGTTCTCCTCAGCATGGAGACTTTTGTGTCTCCTTGAGCATATGTAGGCTCTCTAAACTTCAGCCTCTGTCTGGCCAATGGGACATCTGAGGGCTCTTTTCCATTTCTCTGTTGACAAATTGAATCTGGATCTTATAACAAGGGTGGGTTATAACTGATTAGTATTTCCTTGACACAGAACTTGGGGTTTTTTCCCAGAAATGACAGGTTAGAGTAATAACTGAACTATCTCTGCCCAAACCAGCCATTGCTGTCACTAGCACTGCTGCCCAAGGATTTCAGTTTTGTCTGAGGAGTCAGTGGGACAAAATATTCAGCAAGAAGTACATATCAGAGAGGTGGTCACCTTTCAGCTTCTGAGAAATATTGAAAAAGGTGAAGGAATGTGCTTTTTAACATAGGTAGATAATGAAAAATAAGTTTGGAGATGACTCTTACAATGCTTCAATTTTCATCTACAGTGTTAAAAACTTGCTAAAACATTAAGCCAAATCCTTACTCCCACTGAGCTGGTGGCACAAAAAGCTAACTTACTAGAATCTACACAGTCTTGAGGAAGATTTTCAATAATTACACATGACACTTAAAATATTTGTTTAAAGAAAAAAGAAGTACTTTAATAAGAACAGTAAAGGTACAGAACAGTAAGAAACGAATGACTGAGAACAAGGTCAGGATTAATATTTTATACAAACAACTGGTTTATTCCTTTCTTACTATGAGTTTAAATCAGTTTAGCACCCTTTTTGTTCAGAGACTAAAAAAAAGTTAGTATTTTATAAGATTTATTTATAACACCCTTGAGGTTTAGAGTATGTTTATGTAACCCTTCTGCCAGGAATTGGCAGCAGCTGAAAGAGCTGGATTCGTTTATCTAGGGGTTCTCCCTGAAAACTTAAACAACAGCAAATTTCAGCCTCCACCCAATGCTAAATGACCTTCTTTGGGTGCCCTAACAAACAATAAATCCTGCTCAAGGCATAGCAAGGGTTTAAAACAAGGTTCAGAGTTTCAAGACAGAGAGAACTTTAGATATGAGAAAAAGGGAAGAAGAAAGGCTCAGAGTAAGCCCACAAGGGCCATTAATCAATAAAATAAATAATGTTAAAGTGTGATCCCTAACCTCTTTCTCTTCCTCGTCTCTGTGACACAGAATAAAGGCTTGCTCTGATTTCCAAATAGATGCCTTGTCCCTTGAACATCACTGCCCACTCAAAACTCTCCCTGTATTTGCTGCATGGCTTCACTTTGCAGCTGAGCTAATGAACACATGTATTGCTGCCCACAGCCCAGGAGAGCCCACCCTCTCCTCAGACCACAGCCCACGGCCCAGCTCACCATGCAGTGAACTAACTGAAGGCACCAAACTGGCAGAAAAGGAACTCATGAAAAATGAAAGTGAGCAGTGGATGTGTCTTTACTGGTTTAATTCCCTGTGCCATAAAATGAAGATCAAAGTCGGCACCAAGGAGGAGGATGGCATGGCTGGGGATAGAAAGAAGAGCCAGACTGCTCTTGTGCCTCTTCTTGCAAAGCTAGATTGGGGTAGTTACTAATAGGTAACTATTAGTAGATGTAGTTTTAAGATGAAACTGCTTTTAAGCATAGCGCCATTTCTGATGACTCTGCTGTCTTATCCTCATACAGGCCAAACTTTGAGGAAGCTGTTCTGTCCATGACTACATGGCTAACAGAACCATTCTGTCTCCAGTTAAAATCCAGCCAGCCTGTATGGTGAGGAACCCCTCTGCCAGCTAAGAGGAGGAAACAGGGCTTCTGCTGTAAAGCTTGAACACATTTTACCAAGGATGGAGCCCTGGGGCTAGCTTTGTTGCCTGGGCAGAACTGCTCTGCCTTTCCGCCTCACACAGCACACCTGTGGCTTTTCAGTCCCGCAGCCGCTCCTATGCCACACTGACCAAAACAGGGAGGCTTTTACAATTCAGCTTCCTTGACTTTTTTGGGCACCCGGTTTAAAAACTTAATCACAGAATAAATTAGGTTGGAAAAGACCTCTGAGATCATCGAGCCCAATCTGACCAAACACCATGTCAACCAGATCAAGGCACTAAATGCTGTGTCCAGTCTTTCCTTAAATTTCTCCATGGACAGTGACTCCACCATTTCTCTGAGCATCCCATTTCAATATCTAATCACTCTTTCTGTGAAGAAATTCTTCCTAATGTGAAACCTAAACATCCTCTCACAGCTTATGCCAATTTCCTCTTGTTGTGTCACTTGTCACCTGGGAGGCCAGCCCCACCTGGCTACAACCTCCTCTCAGGCACTTGCACAGAGCATTAAGGTCCTCCTGAGCTTTTTCTCCAGGCTAAACGCCTTCAGTTCCCTCAGCTGCTCCTCATCAGACTTGTGCTCCAGACCCTTCCCCAGCTCTGTTGCCCTTCTCTGGACACGCTCCAGCCCCTCAATGTCCTTCTTGTAGTGAGAGGCCCAGAAGTGGACACAGCACTTGAGGTGCGGCCTCACCAGTGCCCAGTACTCTCACTGCCCTGGTCCTGCTGGCCACACCACCGCTGATGCATGCCAGGACCCATTGGCCTTCTTGGCCACCCGGACACACGCTGGCTCATGTTCAGCCAGCTGCCAACCAACACCCCGAGCTCCTTTTCCGCTGGGCCTTTTCCAGCCACTGTGCGGGAGGAGCGGAGGGATTCGCCTCGGGAGGCTCTGGACGCTGAGGCGCTGCCGGCCTGGGCCGGGCGCCATTCGTAGCGCACACAGCGCCGCGCGCCCCCACAGCGCCCCGGCCGCAGGCGCCCCCTGCCGGCGGCCGTGCGCCCCCTGCCGGCGGCCGTGCGCGGCGCGGCGGGGCCGGGGCCATGGCGGGCAGCATGGCGCGGGCAGCGCTGCGGCGTGGTGGGATCGGCCGCCGCTTGGCGCGGCCGCCGGCGCTCGGCGGGAGGGCGGCGGCGGCGGGCTGGAGCGGGCCGGCGGCCGGAGGAGCGGTGCAGTACTGTGCCGAGCTGGTGCGGTGAGTGCCCGCCGCGGGGGGCTGCAGGCGCGGGGGTGCGCGCTCCGCAGAGCGGGGCGGCGAGCCCGGCCTGGGAAGGCTCGGCCGCGCTTCCCAGCCGACGGGAACGCTGACGACTTCCCGGAAAGGATGGCTGGGATTGCCCAGGCCGCCCTCGGGCTCTCCGGGGCCCGAAAACAGCCCGTGTGGCCGGCCGGGGTGGGCCGGCGGGACCGCGCCGTGTCGGGAGCATTGAAACCCGGCGCATATTTAGGCCGCGTGGATGATTCAGCCTGCACACAGAATCACTGATTCGTCTGTGTTGGAAGGGACCTTTGGAGATATCCAGTCCAACCCCCGCCCATGCCGGGTCACCTGGAGCAGGTTACACAGGAGCGTGTCCCGGTGGGTGTTGAATGTGCCCAGGGAGGGACGCTCCGCCACCGTGCTGGGCAGCCTCCCACGGCAGTGCCCTCCCCCTCTGTGGCTGCGTTCCTTCGGAAGAACGGAACGTTCTTGTTCCCTTGTATCGGTGTTTTGGAGAGCGAAATCACCGAAGTGGATGTTTAAAAACATTGGCTGTTTTCAAATCCTGGCTACTGAGAACTAGCCATGCTTGCTGAGCGCTCCCTGGAAAAACGGGATAAAGAGTTGCGGTCAGAGGACATCTGACAGCTGGAGCAGCTCAGTACTTTCTCTGTCGTAAACGCAAGAGGAGGCCTATGTTTCCAAAACATCCTTTTTTTTTTTTGTCAAACCCAAAACGCTCCAAGAGGGGCAGAGTGCAGTCAGACACTTCCAGGTCAGGTCACTTTTCCTTCTTGGATTCTGGGCTGCAAACAATGTGTAGGGCCCCTTGGCTGCTTTGGAGTTCCCAGGAATTCAGTTCATTGTAAAGTAAGATGTTAAACAAGTTTCTCAGTAAAGACCTAGGTAACTTCTCTTTGGATACTGTTTTTCCAGATGATTGACAAAAGCTGGGAGAAGGTTTCCATGTGTGCATAGACAGAGTGGAACAGGATTATCTTCTCCAAACTGGTGCTTGTAAAAAGACAGAAAGATGTGTGTGGTCTGCAGTAATGTTTGAGGTAGGAAAACTGAGGGAAAGAAATGGGACAATCTTAAATGTTCAGTGCAGCAGCAAGAAGCTGACCCGTACAGATGCACCAGAATGCACAGCCACATTGCATTTTTCATGATTTTCAGAATAAGCTTTCTTTTCCTAGTTATTCTACCCAGGATTCATTTCCCTGACACTCAGGAGACCAGAGGCTGTGTGTACAGCCAATACACAGGTAAAGTTAACATCTGCAGGTGAAATGTTTCCAGTAACAAGCAATTATGGACAGAATAGTTAGGTTCCAATGAGATGGTTGAATTAAAACTTTTTTTATATGTATTTTTGTTAAATGATAAAAGGACTAATTAGAAAAATACACAAGCATTCAAAATAGTAAAATGAAAAGTGGTTATGCTTTTGGCATTATTTAATTGAAGCTGCTGTTCCCAGTAGTTCAACTATTGCTTGGAAATAATAACTATAAAAAATAAGTGGAAGGAATTATTCAAACAGTAATAAAACACTTGGGGCTATGGAAGTGTCAGCAACTCCTTAGTTCTGAATTTGAGTCTCCAACACATTAGGAAGTACAACTGAGTTGTGCTTTTATAATGTATATTTGTTTTTGGAATATGGAAGATGCCCTTTCTCTTTGGTCTTCCTTTTTCTTTAAACAACTGAATTCACTTCAAGATATTTGACTAAAAAAATGTTTTCCTTATAGGTATGTTTTATGTCCCTTACTGTCAGGGATGCCTGGTCTCAAAAACAAGCTTGTGGATCGATACCTTTATTACACATTCATTATATGAAAAGTCCAGTTATGACCAATACTAATTTTTCTTCTGGCTGTGGGTTTATATATAAGCTTATATTTATTTGAAAAACCTCAACTTATCTATCAATAAAGTCAATACCTGACTTAAGGTCGTTCCTTCCTTTCTACAGTTCTTATGCTCATACATGAAGAAGGTTGGGGTAGAATGTGATCTACAGCAATATCAATTTTATTTTACTGAGGCTTAATGGATTTGATGCACTAAATTTTTGAGCTTGGAATAATTGGAAAAAAGCAACCAAAACCCCACCATGTCAACAGCATTACCAGAGGGAAGACAATTTTCTCTATTGTGTTGCTCTGTACTTTGTGTAACATATTTCTTTGTTTCCTTTTTGAAAGTAGAGGTGGTTCTGTGTTGTGTGAACAACACAGACAGACTGGAACTGGGAAAATGTGGCTATAAACCATGCAGCTCTGTCTAGGGTGGACAATACTGGTATTTCTACAATAAGTCTTGAAAAAAATACTAGGCTTTGAGCTGATAATATTTTTCAAAAAGTGTCCTAACTGAGGGAGATTTAATGTATCTGTTCTGTAATATGGTGTCCTTTAAAGCCTACTACAGCTCCAAAATGTAATTTTTTTGGGTTGATATTTCTGTATTTGCATCGAGGTCTAAAAGAGTCTGACAACAGCATTTGCTAGTTTTCAGCTGCTGTGTATTGTAGGGTTAAGCATCTCTGTTAAACTTCACTTCCTTTTTGTTTGATGCTAAAAGTAGTAACCCTAATAACCTTTGGGTTTAGTTTGGGTTTCTATTTTAAGATCGTATTCAAAAGAAATATGAGTACATGCGAGAACAGCAAACTTATTGAAAATGAGTGCATGTGTTTTCCTTGACAATCTGCTTCTCCACTCTTCAGGCCAAACTTGGGAGTTCATCTTGTTCTAAGCAAGAATCAGGTTTCAGGCTTATCAGAAAGTACACAAAAATGTTGTTCAAAACAAGCAGTTTAGCTTTTCAGAGGTGGTCAGGTGTTTTTGTTAGCTGGAGTGATTTTGTAGTTCATGGTTCTGAGCACTGTGTTTTTAATTTTGTGGCACACACACCCACGTGGCCAAGCGAAGGCACATCACTCTGGGTTGGCAAGGAGCTACCTGCAGCAAAACTGCCAACTCCCTGAGGTTTTATGCTTTGAATATAGTTGCCAGTAAACAAAAACTTAATGGTTCAGCAAGCACTCTTCTGCCAAGCTCCAAAGAACAGTCTTCTAAAGAAATGTGGTTTCGTGTTTGGAACAGAAACCTGCAAGTCGGACAATCTGGATTCTATTTGCAGTTCTGCCACAGCCTTGCTCCATGCCTTCAGCCAGATATCTTGAGATGTGGAATTCAGAGGTGCACTGAGAGTTCAAGCAGCCTGCACTCTCTCTTGGAGTTGGTCTTACTTTAAAACAAGCCTAAAAGCTGCTACTTTTGCAAAGTCAGAGTTTTGAGCTATAACTTACTGCGACTCTTTCAGGAGTTCAGTGCTAAGGAATAGCACCTCCAATTGACTTAGAGCTATAAATAACAAATGCGCATTTTGATTCTTTTATAGGAAGCGTGACTATGAAGGGTTTCTGTGTTCTCTGCTGCTGCCTGTGGAATCTCGAACCTCTGCTTTTGCCTTGAGAGCCTTCAATGTGGAACTGGCTCAGGCAGGTATTAAAATACATTTGTGAACTCTGGAAATTGAAAATAAGAATTTTGATACTCTAAGTTACGCTTGTAAGTACTCTCTCTTTCTGTAGTCAGTGGTGTTTTGCCAAGGTTAACTTTCATACAGTCAAGGACCATGAATAAATAGTGCAGTACAAACCTCCAGTTTTGAATGGCCCATGGAAATTACCCAGCCTGCCCTGTTATTTTGCTTATGTGTATAATTTTTATGACCTTTTCTTTATGCATTTTAAAATCAAGTTATAGCAAACAGGCAGTGGTTCTTGATACTGTTATGTGATTGTATCTAAATCCTGGCTTCACGTGCAGTTAATGGGTAAAGTGCAGCTAAATCCTAACTGTAACAGGTTGCTCAAAAAATGGGATGCTATAATCAGAACCAAGCCTTTGTTGGCAGAAGCAAGGTGATGAAAAGGCTGCAGGAGGGAAGTTTGTAGTTAGAGAGTTGTGGGAGAGGAGTGGCTGCAGTCTCTCTGATTTGCAAGGTGCCCAGAAACTGCCAGTGCAACCAGGAAGGTTGGCAGTGCTTGCCAGAAGGGAGCGATCCAGGAAATGAGCTGACCAGGCAAAATCCCTGACCAGCTTCTGTAGGCTGTGCTTCTGGCAGCCCATGGTGTGCCCTCCCTCGCTGCTGTCACCACTGCTTTTATTCCTTCCTAAAGCTAAAGTGAGGGTTACCCAGCATTTAATCTCTGTGGGTTTCAAAATCAGGTTGTGATAAAGATTTTACATTTACTCTATGCAGTGTTCCGAAGCTTTATGAGGAATAAATGTCAGTTCAGAACTGAGCTGTTTCTCTTCTGAGTTTGACTGTGTCCTGTGTCTGTCTTTTCAGCATAGATAGACCAAGTGTGTTAAAGACACTGAATTTCACTCCGGATGTGTCCTTTCCAGATTAAAGACTCCATAACTCAGAAGACAACAGGTTTGATGCGGATGCAGTTCTGGAGGGACGCTGTGGAGGACATATACAGTGATAACCCACCACATCAGCCCGTTGCTACAGAGCTGTGGAGGGTAAAATACACCTTTCTTGTCCTAAAATCTGCTTTAATATTACTGTGGGAAGTGATGTCAATGTTTTGTGTGTGCTGTGTGGCATCTCTTCTAACCGACAACACTGTTTCCAGCACAGATCCAGAACACAGCACCATAAAAGTGCTGTGAAGAAAATTAACTCTATCCCAGCCAAAACCAGTACAGTATTCAGATAGAAGTTGTTCTGATTCTGGGGTACCAATTGCAACCCTCTCCAGTAGCTAAGACTGCCAGATGTACTCCCTTCTCACAAAACAGAAAATTGGTTTTGAAGTGGAAGAAGAATGGTCTTTGGTGAGATTTCACCTCAGGTATGATTCTAATAAAGGAAGACCAATATAATACATTCCAGACAAAACTGCTTGCAAAATAAGATGATGAAAAATAATTTAGAAAGTAATTTTAGGAGCTCTGATAGCTCTAAGCACTGCAGAGCACTGGAGTGAACTAACAATTCAATGTGACTTGGTAACTTTTGCAGATGGGATTTTATTTCCACATTTCAGCAAATACCCCAAGAGTGACCTATTTGAAGCCCATGACTTCACAAATATCCAAGAATGTCATTGCAATTCTTAGAAAAAAGGATTTGGAAAGACACCTGAACTCACAAGTATTGCAGAGCTGTTAGTAGAATTAACGTGTCTTTGTACGGCATAGTCTATGTATATTCCTTTGTTGCTGTTGAGTTTATATGAGGACAATGTGATTTTCCAGAATACATTTAAGTTAATGATGCTTAAACGTGTTCCTGAAGTTTTATATATCCCAGAATACTTGCATGTAGGTTCCAAATTTTTATACATTAGTAAAGTAGACAAGTAGCCTTTAATAGTATTTCTAGAATTATTAATAGCTCACCTCTTGATGACTTTAATATAAACTTACACAGCAACTGTATGATGCGTGATCTTTTCTGTCTGTTTTGAACGTATGAAAAGTGAGACCTAATTCTCTGTTCATTTCTGTGGAAGAAGCCAATTTTTCAAACTTCTGAGAAATGAGGACCCATGTGTTTGAATGAAGTAATGGATGTAATGTACAAATTGGGTAATTTAGCATAGTTGAGTTTGGTCCTTTAAGTTTTGACCTGTTAGTATTCCAAGGATTTCATTTACAAAATGATACGTGAGGTGAACAACTGAGACTAAAAAACAATATTTGTAGTTATAACTTAAAATTTTCCTTTTCATATACCAAGTACTTTATAGAATCTAGAAGATCTGGTCTTGTAAAACCTTGAAAAATATTTACTAATATGATAGATGTAAAGAAGAAGTTGAAAGTGAGCAATGAGGACTAAACAGTGAGAAATCTGCTCCCTAAATTTTGTTTATAGATGTTTTCACATGTGATTGTAGCCTTTCTGAAAATGTGTTCTAAAAATTAAAAGTGTGGAATTAAGAGGATTGAAGGTAAGTTGATAGAATGAAGTGGCACAGGAAGGAAATCAAATATAAGACAAGAACCGAAAGAAGAATGTGTAAATATGAGATGCTGTGCAATATTTCTTTAAACAAACCTATAATATTAATTGTATTGCTTTGTTAGCATTCTGTCTTTACAGTATGTATTGGTATGTTGTGCTGACATTTTCTTGAGAATTTACAGGGGAAATATTTTTATTGCTAGGCTCTGGAGGAAACTCTGTTCTTTTTGGAAAGTGAACATAGTTATCTGCAAATATTTTGTGGGAACATATGACTCCAAGAATAAATTAATTTCATAAACATTTTTAAAGAAATGCTTTTAGTTTGCTGGCATGATGTCTGATATTTCATTTTCTGTGTGCAGCAACTTGCTGTAAATGCCAGTTGAAAATTTTTGTATTTGAAGAAGATTCTCATTTTCCACTGACTTGCCACTTTAATTTAACCCAGTGAATACAAATCTTGTATTAAATACCTGAAATGTATTTCAGCCTTCAGAATGCAGTACTGCCATCACTTTGTATACATTAACGAGGAGGTTTTATTTTATAATTTTCAGGCTGTCAAGAGGCATAACTTGACTAAAATGTGGTTCATGAAGATCATAGATGAAAGAGTAAGTATTTACCCTTCAGAGACTGATTCTGGCTTTAGTCATATTTGGGTTTTCTTTTCCTTATTTTTATAGGTTTGCATGTAAAAAAAAGCTTATGTAATTTTCCAGACAGTAGTATTTCTCTTTAAAAATTATACTGCTACATTGTAAAAAATTCTTCCTTGATCCTACTCTTCATAGTTTCTGTTCTTTCTTCAAAAATGGCTAATAGAATCCTTTGTTTATTTTTTGTCTTAAATTGATGTAGTTTGTGAATTCATGTGGATATAAAATCTCAAAATTTAAATGACCTATCTGAACCCTTCTGCCACACTTTCATGCTACTCCTTATCATGGCTGTGGAGTTTTTTCTAAGCAGTGGTGTAAACTGGACCATTCAAATCACATGAAGTTTAAAATAGCCACCTTTTTTCTTGGGAAAAACAAGGTTAAGAGCATCACTGGTACAGTGATGTTGCTACAAACTCTGACACAAGGACAAGAATGAAAAGCAGGAATCTCCTAAGCTAATTTTGCTGCTAAAGTGTCTCATGAAGCTATAAATTGAGCAAGTTGATGGTCAGTTACTTGCAGAGAGTCATTGCTATGAAAGACTTCAGACTTTCTTAATGTTAAGACTTTTTTAGTCTTTAGAATGGTATATTTTAAGCATAGAAACCACTAGGACAGGAGGAATGCTGGAGGATGTTACGGTTTTGGGTGTATTTTATTATTTTGGATGTATTATTTGTTAGCACCACTAAGTTGTTCAGAGGGCTGGAACACTTCTCCTGTGTCCAGGCTGAGAGATTTGGGGCTGTTGATTCTGGGGAACAGAAGGCTCTGGGGAGACCTCTAGAGCGCCTTCCAGTACCTGGGAGGGGCTTACGAGAGCTGGAGTGGGACTTTTGATAAGGGAATGTAGTGATAGGACAAGAGAGAATGGCCTTGAGATGAAGAAGGGTAGGTTTAGATTAGTTCTGAGAAAGAAGCTGTTTACTATGGGGATGGTGAGACACTGGAAGAGGTTGCCCAAAGAGGTTGTGGGCTCTTTATGAGGTGTTCAGGGGTTGGGTGGACTTCTGAACAGCCTGGTCTGGTAGAAGGTTTCCATGTCCATGGCAGAGAACTTTGAGCTAGATGATCTTTAAAGTCCCTTCCAACCCAAACCACTCTATGATTCTATGAATCTCTGGGTTTTTACATGAATTTAACACTTCTGTGCATTTCATAGATTTACTTTATGTTTTTAAAAAATACATTCCTAAATTTAAATTTCTAAATTTCTCTCTGCTTCAGATGCAAATTAAATATTGACAACCCTATAATGTAAGAATACCATATGATGTTTTGGTTTTGCTGTTTCCTTTTTTATGGAGAATTCTGATTTCGTATTATTGCAGAAAGTTGTATTTGCTCCTTGGCCGCAGTTGAGCGTAGTTATTTGTTAGGTTTGCTATAAGCTTTAATGAGTGCTTCTATCTGACTTTATACTCTCTCTCAGTCTCTCAATTTTGTCCTTTTTTGTTTTTGGTGGTGCATTAGGTTGACATGGCCGTAGTAATAAGCCTGTACAAACAGCAGTTATGTTTGCATTCTACTGAAGCTCCATGTTTATGTTCCAGGAGAAGAATTTGGATGATCGGCCGTACCGTAACATCCAGGAGCTGGAAACATACGCTGAGAACACTCAGAGTGCTCTCTTGTACCTCACCTTGGAAACACTGGGTAGGTGTTTTCACCTTTCTCGGTTTTGCTGATGACTCATTAGTGCAAGTACAATATTTACTGATATTTCAAAAAGCCTTTTCTTTTCCTACTGGAGTTTAATTTCAGTAAAAGCTGTCCTAGCTAGAATTTCAGATATCTTTTGAATGCTGAACTATAAATGTGGAATTGTACTGCAGCTGTCCTAGAACGCTACTTTCCTTGGAAGCTGCTCAGTGCAGAGCTCATTGAAGTGCAGTTTCCTACTGTTCTTTGTTGCTTGGTTTTCTCTGTTCTTGCTCCTCCTACAGCATGTGGAAAATTCAGCTCTTCACTGTATTTCAATTATTCCTGCTTATCAGAATACAAAGCGCTGTAGGTATCCTGCAGCTGTTGTTCTGTATTGCAGTGATGGACACTGATTGTCTTGAAAGAGCCAACTTCCCAACCTACAAACTTCCTTTGGTGATGTTTTAAATTTGGGTCTGAATCCTCTCCTCTTCCTAGAAGTAGCTTAACTATCAGTAATTGAAGAGCTAGAAAAAAATGCAACAAAATGATCCCTGTGATCAAGAGCTACTGTCTGTGTCATGTCTAATGTAAGAACCACAAATTGGGAAAGAACTTTTCATTAGTAGTGAAGAAAAGGGTATTTTCATTTAGGTATCTCTTGCATTATGGAAGTATTCGCAATATGAGCTTGGATGTAAAAAAAAGGTGAAAAAACCCCCAAATTATTATTAATATTATGAATATTGTTAATATCATTATTGTTACTATTATTATTTAGTGTTTAGTATTGTAGTGGCAATATTTTCCTCTTGCTTGTCAGACTAATCTGATGAAAGGCAAATACTGATGCTAAAAGTTTAAAAAAAATAGAAAAAGGAGAAGTAAAAAGAGAGAGATGGTGAGTACATTCTTCTTTGAAAGAATTGAGGAACTTATTTCTTAACATCTGATGTTTGCTTCCTCACTAGGAAGTCAGTGAAATGTTGCAAATATCTTTCTGAATCTTTTATTGAAGAAATGTAGGACCATGAGAAATGCCAGTGTCTTCCATTCTGAGAAATCCTGAATAAGTTCAGTCATGCTTGGATCACTCGCTCCTTGTACAAATCAGATAAAACTGTTTTTGAAAATCTGTATGGAGAGTCTGGATATTTTAAGTCTTCTGTTGTCATATTTAACTTCTCTTAAATATACAAATGTAACAAAATATCTAAGCAAAAGTCTCCTCCACTGCATATTAAACAGTTAACTTTTGTTATTTTTCCCCACAAATTGAGAAACTAATCAAATATAGCCCCTTTCTTGGTTGCCCATCAGCACTGTTTTCTAGACTAGATGGACCTGGTTTCATTCAGGTCATGTTTGCTAAATTTCTTGTGCTCTTTAGACTCCTTATTTCTGACCAGTCTGTTGTATCTCTCCCAATGTGTACTCTCCCAGTACTAGTGCTGTTATATTCTTGCTGATTTCAGATTGTTTCTTTTGTCAAGCTCATTTTGGCTGGTAATCCTGTCATCTGAAGTCCTGGTGCTTCCTCTCAACTCCTGTAATTTAAAAATACTAATATTTGTGCTCTCTAACTAATTACTTAAGTAGTTAGTAAATAATATCCATTGTTTCCTCCAAGCCACACTTTGCTTTCTGCTGCCATTGCTAAAATCAGTTCCTGTAGTGTGGGTATAGTCAGTCTTTCACAGAGGATTCTGAGACCCACTGAAGACCCAGACAGGCTTCTGCAGTGAATCTGGTACCCTCAATGTTATTTCCAGATGTCAGTTAGGCCCATTGATCTGTAATTGCTGTATCCTCATTGCTTTCTTTGTAGAATGCTGCTTCTGTTAAGAGTTTTTGTAATTTTTAATTCAAATTTTCATTTCATCCTAGCTCAGTTTTATAATCAGTCTAAGCCAAGCTTGTATGGTCTTGCCATGAAGAGCAGTGGTGCTGCTCTGCCCCACTCACCTTCCTCTTTCAGTTCTCACAGTTTATGTGTCTGTGCAGTAGCTAACATTAGTTTTCTGTGGTTTTGTTGATCTGATTCAGTTTGCCTCATTGCTCCTGACAGCACAAGGGAAGGGGCAGAGAAATGGGTTTGGGAAGTGAAGCACAGGATCATTTCTCTTTGACTTCACTACACTGATGAATCAGCTGCAGCTAATCATGAAACCACACTGAAAGCATTAATGCTTGTCAGAAATCTCACACTTGAATGACTTTTTCTGGCAGGAAAAGCAATTCTTGGAATACTGTTATCCTGGGAGAGGATATGCCAATGAAAGTGAGTTTGTGTACCAGTGTTATATATCTGAATAGGTGCTGCTCTGCTAAGTATACCCTTTGCAGATACTGCAACAAGAGGCATCTTGCTCCTGAATGTGGAAATGAATGAATTTTCCTGCGGTTTTGCACCTCTGAGTTGAGATCTCAAAGCAGTTTATTCACATGAACAGTTCTATCATGGACCAATGCATGTAGCTTTCCTAAAGTATGACTGTGATACACATCAGAGAAGACCATACCCCTCAACAGGCCTGACTGCATGTTTCTAAACATATTGTTTCTGCAATTTTAGGTGTGAGGGACATCCATGCTGACCATGCAGCCAGTCACATTGGGAAAGCACAAGGCATAGTTACCTGTTTGAGAGCAACTCCTTATCACTGTACAAGACAAAAGGTCTTTCTTCCCATGGACATTTGTATGTTGGTAAGAGAAGCAAATAGTCTGGAATTGTACAGTGTAGTTTTTCTATCTCTGTTTCTCAAGGCTAAGTATGAGATCATAATTTATTAGGCCAGAAAGAAATGGTATGTTTTTTCTTTATTTTTACTCATTCTGCTGTGGCCTGCTAATTGTCACGGCTTTATAGCTTTATATCTTTTGGGAAGTGAGAGCAGTGATCTTCAAGAAACTTCAAGAAACTCAAGATTTCCCTTAGGGGTTTGTCTGTTATTATTAAATGTATTAATATTTTAGGTTTCAGGAATTTTTCCAATAATGTATAAAAATGCATATACAGAATGGGTCCTGGGGGTTTGTGTTTTGGAGTTGGATATGGGGTTTTTCCTTTTTTTTTCTTTTCCTATCACCATAAAGGAAGCACTGTGAGAAATTTTACTTTAAACAATCTTTTTGTGCTTCTCTTTATTACCTTTTCATAATGTGCTGGTGGTTTGTGGGTTTTTTCCTGTTCCACATTTTACAGTTACAGGCCTATATTCCATACATTTCTAGGAGATCATATAGCCCTCCAATTTAAACTGTACATCAGATTTACACTGGAATTTAGCAGATCTGTCAGTTTAGATAAAATGAGATTAAAGCTTGGAATTTTTCATTAATATTCCATGGTTTAATCTGTAGGCATCTCAGCTATTAGTCCTTCATTTCCAGTCTTTATTTTTAGATGCTAATACTGTTCTTTTTCAACTTAACCAAAATTTACACAATTATGGTGATGCCTAAGGTGGTTGTGTTAGTATTTTATGAATATAATTTTAATACAGTTAAAAATTTGAATTGGAAGTCTAGTAATGTAGGTAGCTGCAAAAAATGATTCTAAGGTACTAATATAGGTCAGATACTAAAGATACTAATATAGGTCAGGGTTGTAAGACAACAGAAAGGAATTGCACTCTCCTTTCAGCCCTTCTGGGACTGCGTGTTATGGGAGGCCTTCCAAGTTTTCAGCTTTTCAAACATAGCCTGAAAATTCAGTCATTCCTTGCCATGGAAGGTGTTCTGCAGTGAAACTGTAAAAACAGCTTGTATCCCTTCTGTGCAGACAATCTTGTAAGCTTTTCAGCTGCTGGCAAGAATTGTGGAGTTCTCCTGACTCTGTACCTCCTGTGAATCCTTTCTGCCCACCTTCATACAGCTCTCACATGCCTCAGTGTGGTTGAGAGGCGTGGGCAACTGGTGCAATTCTGAATATGCCATATTCTGTGTTAACATTGGTCACTGTAGTCAAAGAATAAGTTTGGAGTTGGCTTTTTGGCTCTTTTCTGGTGGTTCTGGGCTTGGTTGGTTGGTTTTTGGAGATGGCTTTGTTTCATGTTTTGTTGGTTGTTGGTTTTTTGTGAGCCTGGGATGTGCACACCAATCCCAAGATTCAAAAGCCAGCATGGCTTCTTGATAGCTGTTACTGTTAAGGGCTGTCTTCTGCTTTATATTGATTCTTGGATTATGGTTTTAAAAATTGGGTATCTAAACTGATCTAAATCCTCCAAACTTTGAAATCTGACTTTGTAATCTTACTGACCACAAAATTTTAGGAAACAAACTTGTGCAGAGAGTCTGTACCAACTGTTCTCTTTGTTTTCTTGATTTTGTTCCAAGTGACTGACCAAAAGAAGGGGAATTAAAAATGAGAGAGCAGTGGTAGAACACTTAGGCTGTTTTAGTCTTTAGTCCTTAGCTTCATTGCTGGGACAGGTTTTTGAGAAGCAAAAATGGAAACTTGATATTTTTAGAGGGTTTTTTCTCTTTTTTGATTTTGGTTTTCCTTCCTATGTCTAGCATGGAGTTTCACAAGAGGATTTCATAAGAGGCAAGCAAGAGAAAAATGTGAGAGATGTAATTTATGACATCGCCAGCCAGGCCCATATTCATCTAGAACATGTGAGATTCCTTTTCTTTTATTTATCTAAATAAACATAACTGATGCTAGTCTTCACAAAGCATTTGTTGTTAGAAGACCTAAAGCTGCATACTTAACTTCACATACTTTGCCCTTTTTTATTTTGAGAGTTTACACTAAAAAAATCCCACCACATTAAAGATTCAAATATTACAACTACTTCTGTATGAATATTATCTTTATGTACAGGAGACAGTTTACTCACAGCCAGGTCCAATTTCATATATATAAATGCTGCCTAAAAGAATTATTACTGGAAGAGAAACTTTAGTAGACTTTTATAAATGCAGCAATGTGCCAGCATGGGATGAGCACCATAGAAAGAACATCTGCATATGGATTTCACCGTGGAATGGCTGCCAGGAAAACAGAGCATGTTGTCTTTAACTGCTGGTTCGTGTGTGTGGGAGGGGGGATTCATTCCCTGACATGACCAGCCATGCCCAAAGCTATGTTGAGAAAGGTGCTTTCTGTTTATTTCTTTCCTGGCATGCAGCCAAGGCAATTAGGAAAGTCTGTTTGGTTGGAACAGTGAATGATGGGCCCTGAAGAACTGCAGAGTTCTACTCTGTTTTTTCTTTCATGCTTTTATTCTAGCTGCGTTATGAGATGTTTGCCTAGTGCCCAGTACAAAAGCAGAAAAATGTTTTATTGGCAGTGCTTTGTCTGCCTCTAGCTGGAAACCAAAGTGCTACAAAGAGTTTCTTACGTCTACAAGTACATGTACACTTTGAGTATTGCACCCAGTGGTTCCAGTCAAGGTAGTCTGGAAAGATAGCACTTCAGAGTAAAGAAATGCCAGATTTATCTCTGCATTTGCACCATTAATATAATCCTCAATTACAGCATTACCTGTGATCACAGTATCTTATGCAATCCACATAGGGGAGCCCTTCATCTTTTTTCTGAAAGTCAAATTTGGCATCCCTGGTTTGTTCAGTCAGTGCCTACTGAGCTGATAAATGTTTTTGTTTTATGTTAATAATGTGTATATGTTGTAACAGCCCTCCAGTACCTAAAGGGAGCCTACAAGAAAGCCAGAGAGGGACTTCTTACAAGGGCATTAAGGACAAGGGGAAATGGCTTTAATCTGAGTGACAGCAGGTTTAGATTAGATGTTAGGAAGAAATTTTTTACTGTGAGGGTGATGAGACACTGTTACAGATTGCCCAGAGAAACTGTGGATGCCCCATCCCTGGAAGTGTCCAAGGGCAGGTTGCATGGGGATTTGAGCAGCCTGGTCTAGTGGGAAGTGTCCCTGCCCATGGCTGGGATTGGAACCAGATGATCCCTTCCAACCCAAACCATTCTATGATTCTTTGTACCCTTTGGCTTTACTTTTCATACACTAATTATAATTCACATTTAAGGCATTCCTATTCATGTTGTTTAACCTGATGTCTCAGTTTTTGTGGTCACATGCCCAAGAAAACTGTTTATTCCATTTAGAAGTAGGGAACAGAGACAAAGTACAACATCAAAACTGTCAATTGTCTTTGTTCAAGCTGAATTTTTTTTTTTTTTTATTCTCCACCCTTCAACCCATAATGTACAGTGTGTAAAACCCATTGCCTTTTGGCTAAGAAAAATGCCAAGTGCATGGCCTGAAATGCCTCATATCAGGGATGGATGGCATGGAAAATAAGTAATGTGTATTTATGGTCCACATGTTTAAATTTGGTTGCTGGTGTTGTGTGAAAACTTTGGGATAGAAGCAGAAAAAGCATTTGGTTCTTCAGAACCTTTCAGGTAATTTGATAATTCATAGTGCATTGGTCCCCTGGTTCCCAACATGAGCCTACCAACTTCTGAAGAGAACTGGCCTCCTTTCTTCCCACTTCATTCCTAGAGCCCTGCCCATGTTATGCACTGGGAGGGTCCTGTGGAAAGTATGCAATGTGATCATGTAATTGGAGACTAAGGAGAAAAGTATAAATACCAAGAAACCAGATTAGGGCAGCATTAGCATTTTATTCAACTGAATGTTGATCCTGGCACTCCTCCCATTTTCTTTCCCCTTTGTATGTTTTTTAATGGGTGGGTTATATCACCTTAATTAAAATTTTTAAAAAATTCTTCTCTGAATACTTGTTTCTAGTCTCCCATCATCAGTGAATTGTGGACAGTGCAGGAACTGTAGAGTGTTCAAACCACTTGAACTGGCCATAGCTGGCAGCAGTACCAGAGTACTGGCTTCCTTCATAATCAGATGGTCTCTGTTAATGCAAGGACAAGGATACTTTCTGCCTAATGGATGAAATGGGCTTTTGCTAGCAGCATTTGCTGGGTATTTCAGGACCTTAGGTAAATATGATGGGCTGGTGCCTTTAAATGCATCTGTTCTGCTGTATAAAATCACCATTTTGTTTTGCCTGAGGGTCTTCACAGCCACTTATCCTTAGTTTTAGTTGGGATTACAGGGTAGGGTAATGTTCAAACCTGCAGAGAGCTATCTCAGCATTTATTACACAAACCATGTATTTTAGAGGATGAGAGTAGCAATTACCACCCCCGTTTCACAGCCAGAAGACACCTAAATCTGAAATGCTGAATGGAGTCTCAGCCATGTTACATGAAGCATACTGTAGTAATGTGGCCCTTAATCTTGAGAAAAAGGTTTCTGGAGTATGGTCAGGTCTTCCTGACACTGCAGCTGCTGACCAGCAGGTGGCAAAATATGATAATGAAGATTGCAGTTTTCCTTAGGAATTGTGTTTTATCAGCATAAAAGCATATAAGGAAATGCTCTGTCAGTCCCCCAGTGTTCCTTTTGAAAGTCTACAAATACATTTACACATTCTCCTCTTTCTCTTCAGCACCCCTTCCCCAGTTCCTCTGGTGAAAAAGGGTCTCCCTTTTGGCTTTTTGCATTTGTCTCAGTTGTCCTACATCGTTATGGGACTCAGTTTATCAAGGGAGATTAAATGCTTTCTGAATGACATGTGACCCCTTCTGGGTTGAGATGGTCAAACAAGACTACTTTATTTTTTCATTTGCAATTAATAATAGAAGGGCAGAGCACTAGATCAGGGAAGAACATTTTTCTGTTTTAGAAATAGATATACACACACAGGTGTTATTATATCTGAAATTTTTAAAATAATTTGTCTTCTGAAAAGATTGATATCTTTTTCCTCCTAAAGTTTCAGGCTCATTTTCTCAGTTTTCTGGAAAGGTCCATGAAAAACTAAACTTTACAAACTCACACATTCTTATCAGTATTTATAGAGAGTTAGTTTGTTTTAGCCTGTAAGAAAAGGCAAAACAAGAAGGGGTTTTGTTTTTATAGACAGGCATTACAGGAAGACTTGTTCAGCTCTGTTAGATGTACTGACTTGAATATGAGTTTAAACTGCAGATTTGATACAGCCATGCTTTAGATTTTTATATGTGGATACTGAGGAACTGAGATCATTTCGATGTCTCAGATACATAACCAAAGCATTTACAGATGGACTCCTGGGACTGATGGCAACATTGAACCAAAAAGATGCACTCAGAAAAATGCATTTCTGTTCTTCCATCATATCTGTCTATTGGGGAAAAAAAAAAGTTAACCTGTATTTACTAAACCAGGTGCATCTTGGGACTTTGTTGGAACAAGGCATGCTAATTTACCTTGGTTTATAGTATTGAGCTCTGTCAAATCATGTAAGTATTTTTGCAAGCCTCTGCCAGTATTACATACTTTTGTTTAACTACTTTTGTACACAGCTTTCATGGAATGAAATGTTACAGTTTCAGGATGTCAAAATAAAAAGGGATAACGCTGGTAATACAGTGTGTTGTCTCTAAGCATTATATATAGTACTTGATGTTTAATCACAAATGTTAAATTCTTCTGATAAGTACTTTTTTTTGTGTTTTGTTTTTCCCTCCCACCTTACCCCATTTACTTTTAGGCTAGATCTTTCAGTAAGAAAGTTCCTGTGAAGGCGTATCCTGCTTTTTTCTGTACGGTGGGTGTGATATATGCACTCTTTAAGTGATGGACTTAGAACTGTGCTGATTTGTGAAGAGCATTCAAATTAAGCATGGGGAACTACCACTTCACCTATCTTATTTTGGGAGGATGTAATACCTAAAACTCATAGAAATCATAATGTGTGCCTGACTGTAGAACCTTACAGTTTTGATCAACACTTCTAATCATTCTCTTTTAACTACATCATTCCACCCAAGATGTCTTTGCTTGTGGACTGCTGTGGTAATGCAAAAGCCCCAAATCCTGTCTATTTTCATAATTTGGTGTTTGGTGTACTAAAAGATAATGCTTCTCTTCACAAAACTTGACTTTTTTATATGTTTGGAATGTGATGATTACACTACCATTTAATAGCAAAGGCAAACTGTTGAGCCTTTTTTACATTTTCTCATTCAGTTTCTCGTATTGCTTTTTAAACTTGATGCCTAATTACTTGTGTGCACCATGTGTATTAAGCCTTTTTCTTCTTTTCTAGGTTGCTTTAGATGATTATTTACATAACATGCGGAAAGTGGACTTCAATATATTTCATCCAAGCTTACAAAAGAAGAGTACATTATTACCATTGTATTTGTATATTAGATCTTGGAAGAAAACATATTAAAGCTTGTTTGGTTATTTTAATATGGATTCAGAGTGCTGAGTTTTTTTCTCTAATGTCTTAACTTGCTAGAATTGCAAAGTGTCTGACTTCACACTTCTGCAAAATGCTGTTCCAGAGAAACAGCAGATGCACATGAACTGTAGCTGTCAGCTTGCTGGCAGTAGCTAAGTTTCTTCTTGGAATATTAGGCTGATATCTCTTTTTCACTTGTCTGCCAAGTCATATGTCCTTGTCTGAGATTGCTTTTCTTGTCTTTCCTGTAATAACAGCAGTATGACAGAATTCTTGGAGAAATACTGTGCTAATGGATACTTCTGACAGTGCTGATTCTTTGCCGAGGAAAGGAAATAGAAAAAAGACTGCTGTGTTTGTTCCCAAAAACAGTTACAGTAAATGCCCTATAAATCAGCTAAGTTGTTCTATTTAGTGCAGGGAGCAGGCTTCCTGCAAGCAGTGGTGATGCTTCAAAGTTGGAAGAATGAGCATGTATATTTGAATGCAAGAAAACTGTCAGGAAAAGCTTTAGCAGAAATTATTTAACTGTGTGTTGAGATGGAGCATTGAAGTGACTGTAGGTAGTGGGAGGATAGCTTGGCATCCAAGGAAGAGAGCCCATACGTTAATATGTATGGATCAGCATGGATAAAACAAAATACATCTTTTATCTCTGGTGCTTTCACTCTGCTCTTGGTTTGGCTGTGTCTTCCTCCTGGCCTCGTGTCTGTTGTTGCCCACAGCTGTCATTGCAATGTGGGTTTGACTGCCCCTTTGTTCAGTGTTCAACACATCTCTCAGGACATACTCCTGTGTGGCTTCCCTGAATTCCTTTTCTTTGGTACTGTGAAAACATTCCTGAATGTTTCAGGTAAATTTAGTCCTCTCTCTCTCTCTAAAGATACTGGTCTGAGCTTTTTTGTGGGAAATTACGAGTAGCTTTGTACTCAGCATCTCTTAGGATCAAGGTAAGTAAGTATTTCTGTTTGATTTTTTTATGGTAAAAGAATGCTTCCTAACATTCAGAATGATTGAATTGCACAAATCCAGTCATTTGTTCTGCCTTCATCCTAGTTCTAGTAAATAGCTGCTTTTCCTAGAGATTTTATTTCTTAAATCAGGGCAAATCACCCCAGATGCTTGGCTGTATAACAACATCCTGTATTTTTGTGTAAAATGTTACATAATGAATTTCTGAGAACAAGATTTGTGGCTTTTTCTATTACAAACTGTCAGCATGGTGAAAATCTTAGGAATAGGAACCTGACATAAAGTTCTTCATTTGGTGATTTTGCTTTACATGTTTTAAGTTGGTTTGTGATACAGATCTTGGTTAATCTGCAGTTTTTTATTCCTGAGTAAGACATTTCTCTTTGAATTTGTTCAGCTCAGGATCCTGCTTTTTGTATTACTAGAGGTGGAATAATCAAGGTGATATAAAGCAAAAAGAATCAGTATGTAATGGATTGGGAGCATACTGGCTGTTTTCTTAATGCAAAATCTTTACAGGTTCTGTCCACTTGTCAGATCAGCTGCAGTATCATATCACTGGTGTTTCTGAATGTGGCAAAGAGATCTGGTGAAAAGAAAATGTTCAATTCCTATGCAGGCACTGCGACTCTTTGTGCCAAATGAAGAGCAAAGGCTTAGGCTCTGTTGCTGCTACCAGGCCAGCTGCACATTCCCTCTGTTTATTTTGTGATCTGGAGCAAGCATTACAAATGCCTCTTTCTGCACTTGGTCATGTTTTGTTCCAAATGTGCTGAGTCAGGCCAGTTGAGGCAGACCTGTCTGTCCTCTCAAAAGGAATCACTGTCCTGTAAAGTCTTCTCCCAAGCAACTAGCAACAAGATAAGAGGGCACGGCCTCAAGCTGTGCCAGGGGAGGTTTAGGTTGGATATCAGGAGGAATTTCTTTGTGGAAAGAAAACATTGGAACAGGCTGCCCAGGGAAGTGGAGGTGTCACCATCCCTGGAAGCATTCAAGAAATGACTGGATGGACTCAGTGCTGTGGTTTAGTTTGCAAGGTGGAGATCAGTCAAAGGTGTGGCTCAATCTCAGAGGTCTTTTCCAACCTAAATGGTTCTGTGATTCTGTAATATTTCCTTTCTCATCATGGCAGGTAAACAGCAGCCTCCTCTGCCTTGACCGTCCTCCAGCTCTTCAACGCAGCAATTTCCCAAATTTTCCTCATAGCAATATCCTCTGAAGGCAGGTCCTTCTCCAGCCTTCTCCAGTCTATGCAAAGCTGTAGCTAGGCCTGTTCTTGACCCTTTCCCCAACTGTAGCCCAGGGTGGCAGCTTCTGTCCTACAGGGTACTGGAGTTACCTTATAACACTGCAACTCTATGTATGCTCAATTCTAACACTGGATTTTCAAAGAAATTGAGCAAAGCAAGTATTAGTATTTTGCCCAGGATGAAATTCTGGTCACTGAACTTCAGGTTTAAAGTCATCACTGCTGAAATCAGTCCTTTCCTGGTTGCTATACATAAAAACATGCAAACAGCAAACCAAAACAACCCCACCCCAATCCATCAAAAAAACTGCTAAGACATTAATAGCCAACATTACTAGGAGGCTATTTTAAAATGTAAAAAGCCCTTTTACATTAAAAATTAGGAAGAGAAACCAGTCTCCTAAAATGTAGATCACTAAAAGCAAGAGGAACAGTCCACACCAACTTTGGAAACAAGTCAGTCCATTACAGGTTGAATTATTTCACAAGCTAAATATCCCTCCTATAATTGTTTGAATTGGCATCAGTTAACAACCAAGTGAATTTGCAACTGTATGAGTATCAAAAAATGTCCCGCTTTAGTATTAACAAAATTGAAATCAGACTTACTCTGAGCTCAGGGTAACCAAAAAATGGTCCCCATGTGTAAATTTTCTTTGCTTTCCCATCACATACTTGTGATTCTCCTTCTACCTGAGAATATCTTCCATGAGCCATAGGGTGTACCTGCAAATCTGCAGTGACACAAATGTCTTAAGTCAGGATTTCTCTTTCTTTGGAATAGAGTATCAGTGGAGTATTCCATACCTGGAATAGGCATGTCTCTGCAAAAACAGAGATCTGTCACCATTTTTTCACTAGGAAATGCTTGACTTTTACTTTCTGGCAAAAGTCACAGCTCCATAAAAATGAGAAACTTGGATACAAAAAAACCAAAAACCACTAGTGAAAAATGTCATGTTGCCATTACAGCACTGTACAGTAGAATTCCAAGTAATTTAGGTTAGGAAAAACATCTTGCATTGCAAACTTTAGGACATAATTATTCTATTTCACATGTGACTCTGGGTCCACACTGCTTGAAGTACAGCTTTTTTACCTTACACTGTTCATTACTGGGAAGCTACTCATAGAAATGAAAGCCAAGAGATTATTTTTTAATTAGGTACTGTTTGAAAACCAAACTGCAGAATCAAAAAAAGCAGCAGCTGCTGAAAAACATTAGTTTGGCCAGCATAACTAGGGGGGCAGCAGGATTATGCAAGAAACTGCTGATTTGGGAGAGTAACAATGGATTAAAGAAAGCTAAAACCTAATAAATACAGTAACTGTCCTTGGGAAGAAAAAAGAAGCTAAAGATCCAATGTGACTTTCACTTGCTATTTGAACCTGCATCTTCAGAAGTTTGAGCTCTTTGACAATCTGACATTTCCCTCTCCTTGCTTAGGTGTGACTGTTTAGGAGATGTGATATTCTTGTTTCTGGAAGGAGACTTAACCACAAAGATCACTTTCTTTCCATTTTGACCCATTTTTCAGTTGTCTTTGACATTTTTATGTTCTTGCACATGAATATTCTGGGGGGATGCAAACTGAACTTTCCTGGGAAAAGAAGGAAGAACAGTTATCTGAGCCACTGAAATTAAGCTAAGAAGGAAATTCTCACTCATTGAGGCAAGTTTACTCTGTAATTCTCCTGACTCAGCTAATAGCAGGTAACGAACCATTTCTACACCAAGAAGTAGCTCTCAGGAAAAAGAACCAAAAAAACCAAAAAACCAGCTTTCACAGCTAAAGCTCCCTTCCCAAACTCTTTTCTTGTGGACAGTTTGGGCTCAATAGCCATTGAAAATTATTGTGGCAAAGCCTTTCATAAAGACTTAGTGTTTCATGAAAAAAAACCAAAAAAACCTTTAATTTCAAAATTAGTTCAGTGACCAGCCTCCAAAAGCCCATCTATAGCATGTGGTGAGGAAAAAGCAGAGGTACTTAATGCCACAGTCTTTAACAGTAAGACCAGCAGCCCTCAGGGTACCCAGCCTACTGAGTTGGGAAAAGGGAACTATGTTCTTCCTTCTTTTCCAAGGAATTATCCTCCTGGCATCATACAGTGTTTCACTGGATGCTGTCTAAGATTGATGAAAAAAAAAGACTGAGTGTTTATTACAGGTACTATAAAATAGTTTAATTTTTCCTGATAGTGCTGATACCTCACACAGGTGTTTTAGGAATCTGTTGAGCATCATCACTCTCTGTCATTTCCCTTCATGCCTGAGGGCCCCAGGTTGGATTTGACACCTGAGGTGAGAGAAACTCGTGATGGGGTGTGCAGGAAGTGGAGGGGTTGGTGATTAAATTGTTTTTACATGCATTTGAGCATGCATTGCAGTCAGCTTTTATTTCTCACATGCAGTTGCCATCCATTTGTGTTCATAATATGCTGCAGTACTGCCTGTTGTGCAGGAAATAGTCTTTAGAATTTCTTCCCTGGATGATTCCATCATGAGAGTGGGTACCTAACTTTGGTATAGGCAAGGTAAGGTATATCTAAGGGAAAAGAGGGAAAAAATATAATAATATTGTTGTGAATGTGACTGTTACCTGGGCTTTGAGATGAGAACTAAACTTGGTCATACTTGTGCAAAAATTTGCTGGAGTTATGCCCTTCTGATTTTCCTGGGATAGAAACCTCATTTAACCGTATGAAATAACAGAAAAATCTTTGAAAGCAATTTTTCTGTTCCTTCTTCCTTCTCATGCCACCGACATCAAAGCACAGATGTATCTTCTGCCTTTTCCCCTCCCTCGTTTATTTACTTTCTTTTCCTCAGCCTTTGACTGGCATCTCTCCTTTGTCCTGTGAAGACTCATTCAGGGCCAGAGTTAACCTGCAGTCTTTCAGTTTCAATCTGCATTTCTAGCAGAAAGAGTTACATGAAATATTTGTACTGGTTCACTCTAGAGAAAAGCATGTCCATCCTCTACCTTTCTTTTTGCCCCATGGTGATTTTGCTCATGTTTTCCAGGTGCTTCTTTTCAATGAACTCACCAACTGCCCCATGTCAGACACTCATCTCCTCCTATATCATAATGATGTTCTTCTTACTAAGTCTTAAATGCCTTGCAGGAAATTTGGCACCCCAACAGAAATGGTGTTGATGTCTGACAAGATCTGACAGCTGAGTCAGGGTCTTGGCACATGTCTGGCTCTCTGTTATCAGCAGACTCTGTAAAATCATGGTGAAGGATGGGACAGAGTAATAATGATAAAATCCACATTGTTTGATTACACATAATGCTTTGATGGATTATTTTTCTGCACTTGGCTAAGGCATAATGGAAACACAGTGACAGTTCTGTTCAATTGAAGTTCAGAATCTCCCCTTTAGACATACATCCTAGAAATAAAGTAATTGCAAACAATTGGCCTCAGACATGCAGAACAGTGTATCTTTTTGGACTTGTTAAACAGGAATTTTAGGGGTTTTTGGTGGTTTCCCTTTGCAAACAGACTACCTTGACTTGTTCCTGAAAGCAATTTTGGCCTCTGATTTTAAACTGAATTGATATAATTTCTTGCATTAATAGCAAACAAATCAAACCCTTATATTAGAAAGCCAATGCAATTGAAGGGAAAACAAAACATCAGAAAAATAAAACGGAAAACCAAAACAAAAGGACCTTCAAGTCACAAGCCCTTGCTCTTGGCATGCTGTGGTCTTTTCAAAGTTTTCAAATAGCTGCATGCAAAGAAAGGTTTGAGTTATTTATGCTTTCTTTACTTACCTGAACTGCTAACTTTGTCCTTTCTTTCACAGTGGCTGCTTTTTGATTACTTAGAAACACAGAAGCTTCTGTTTGGTTTTTGTGTTTAGTTTTAGCTCATTCTGTATGCTTTGTTTTACCTTGTAGGGTCTACTTACTAGGCAAAAATCACAAGAGTAGCAAAAGTCCCATGTTTGTTTCACAGTATTTACTTCATGGAAATATTCTTTTAGATGCTCTTTGCTGTTTAATTATTTTTTTTTACTAAAAGCTAGTTGTTTAATGACTAGAGCTGGTGCTCTTACATGAAACTAAACTGTATAAATGGTGATATTTAGAGAATAATGCATGTGCTGTGATGTCTTGAGGGCCTTGCATGCTGCAGGAATTGTGGTGTTCAGTGTGTGTGAGACAGTGCACACCTATGGCCAGAAAAATGGGTCAGTGCTTGTCTCTGGGACACCTTTATATGACTGCAGTTGTCTGGAGGAATTGATAATTAAAACCCATCCCATGTCCATTGAGCTGCATGAAGTATTAAACACCAATTGAAGAGATTTCCTCTCAAAAATACATATTTTCCTCACTTTCTCCTAATTCAGGGAAAAGGAATTTAGCAGTATTTACTTACAAGTTACTTACAGTTGGATATATGATCATTTAAACATTATTAATGTATTTCACATAAGCACAGGACTTATTTGTGTACTCAATTTCATTGTCTGGTAACTGATTAACAGAAAAGAAGACTGAATGTTTCTGTTGGCTGAAATAATAATGTTACTACAGTTCTACCGTGAACTTTCTGCTTGGAGTGACGGTTTTTATTTCCAGTCTTTAGCTGTATCAAATACATTAGCTGAGAAGTTGCTTTACATTTTCTGCTTAGGTCAGATCCAGGCCCCTTCAGTTGCTGGCCCCTGCTGAGCCTACTGTGTCAGACTTGTAGTTACCAACACAGAAAAAGGACTTTTTATTTTCATAGTTCTGGGTTCTGATGGGTTTTTCCCCCCCAAAATATGTAGATGGCTGAATAAATGGTCCTAACATCATTGAGAGAGATGGTGAATTCCTAGAGCCTTTGAGGCATAGGAGCCAGCCCTACCTGTGACCTCTATGACAATGACACTTTTCCAGGACTGTAAACTTAATGCAAGTAAAATGAATGATAAATTCATTTTTTAAATGCCTGCAGTTTTTGCAAGTAATAAATACATCCCATCTCCCATCCTCTCACAGTACCATGATGAACCATTTTATACCATTTACTGGCCTGAATTCCTGACTTCTCTCCTAGCCAGTAATTTCACCCAGAGAGAAGTTAGTGGCAGAGGTAATGTGATAGAAAATATTAACCCATTGGACTTGCACCATTTCTTTAAGCAAAGGTGTTCTGAAGACAGGCAGGGGAGGGTTAGAAATCCAAAAAGCCTCCATTTAAAGGGCAGTAGATGAGAAGGTGTTTGAGCTGCAGAGGTGAGGCAGAGAGGCCACTGTCAGTTGTCTCTGTATGATTTTCCAAGGATCCCCAAACAACAACCTGGTGAGGTGTTGTGAGCATACAATATTGTCCTGCAATTGAACCTGCAGGTTCAGGCCAACAACAGTAACAGCAAGGAAAATTCATTTCTAGCTGTCAAAAAATTATTTTTTCTAGTCTGACCTACTTTGTTAGTTCATCTAGTGACCATCTGCAGAAGGAAAATTGTTGCCTCCTCCTTCTTCTGGTGGTGTGGCTACAGAGAGAGATTTGCCCTTCAAAAATGTCAGTGTTTAGTTTAATTTGGAGTGTTTGAAATATGGTTTATTGATTAACCTAGAGATTGGTGACTCTTCACTGTTCTAGAGAGTGGAAAAGAGACTGGTTGAAACATTAAATCCAGTCAGCTCAACATCTTCAAATATTACACCAGTGAAATCCCCAAACCAGACAGTATTGCTGTGTACAGAAACTTCTGGTACTATTCATGCTCTCAATTCCAGATCATATTCACCCATTAATTATAGATGGAGATTTATAGTGGATTGTAACCCCCAAAACCTCCTTAGTTTGGATAAAAACTAATTAATCAACAATGATTCTAATCATTGACAAGTATTGGAACAGTGCTTCCTCCAATCCAAGGAACATCTCTCTCAGCTGAAAAGACAAAGGGACCTTTTCAGTGAGAAATCTGCAGATTTGGGATATAAAAGACACACAAACGCTGAAGTCTTCCTCTTGAGCTTCTATAACATTTCTATTGTCAGTATTCTGATCAGTCAGAGTCCTCCTCAGTAACACACAGTGCAGTAGTCAGTGAGCACACAGATTTGGACATTAAACATTCAAAATGGGTGTCAGGTACCAGTAGAGGCCAGTATACACCAGTTGAAATCCATCAGTAGGTCTGGTAGATCATAGGCTAGAGGGGGTGGAAGCAGACTGACCCTTCTGGTGTGTTCTACACTCACACAGCAGCAGCTGTCCTGCCTTCAAGCAGAACCTTTCACATGTTATCAGGTGCTATGTCAGCAGCTGAAAGAAGTTTTGGTGTAAGCATATGCAGAAGCAAAAAAAGAACCCAGACCAAACTGGGGAGGAAAAAACCTGGGGAAATGGTGACTGTTTGAATTAATGTAATTTATTTTGTGTGAGCAGATAAATGTTGCCTCAGCCTTTGGAGAGTTGAGCTGGAAGGCAGAGTAGCAGCGCCAGCTCTGGAGAGTCAAGGCAGCAAGAAAAAGAGAAAGAAAAAGGAGCAACATCAGCACAGGATGCAACATATTGGAAATGGAAGAGAACTGGAAAAGAGCCAAAACTACAAACATGGGGAAAAAACAAAAGAAGAGCAAAGAAAAAGAAAAAGATGACCAGCAGGTGAAATCTTGTCACTTTACAGAATGACAGAGGATAAAAAAATTACTTAATTTCTCATTCATCAGTTCTTCCATCCCTGGAGATGCATGCTAGTTTTAGACATGCAGCTCCAGAGGACACACAAACCCATCAAGACATGGGTATGTTCTGACTGGACTTGACACTATGGGACACATAGCCAGTGCATGGGGACACCCAGGAAACACACAGCCCTCTGGCATCAGTCCAGCCTTTACTGACCAAGGCAGGGACACAGTGGTGGAACAGTGCTGGTCGAGTGAGGGGGTCTCAGGAATGCTGGCTCAGCAGGCACAGGGTGCTGGGATGAGCTTGCCAGGGTATGGTCCCCAAAGGGAGGTGTATGTGCAGGGCATGGCAGGAGGTTGGGATGTAGCATGGGGTTACAGAGTCCCTGGGTTGGAATCAACATCCTTGGAGAAGCTCTTATGTCACCTTGTGTCTCCCTGGTTGCCTTCAGTCTCTCCCAGTCACTCCAGGACCATTCCATAGTGGCTTTTTAACACCATGCACTGTCTCTTCTCGTGGACAGGGAGGACAGGAATTGCCCCTGTCCAGGGACAGCAGCACCTTGATCTAATTTCCAGCTTCTAGTGCTAGTTTCAGTCTAGTGTCCTCTTGTGTGCTGTCTGAACATGACAGGATGTGACTGGTGCCACAAGGAGGCTGCAGGGACACCCCCAACTCAGACCACCCTTGCTACTCCAGGCTTGCCCCCTGGAGCAGGCACTGAGTCCCAAGAGACACAGAGTGCTGGTGTGGGAAAGCTGGGTTGAGTGCAGATCTTTATGGAAGTGCACTTTTACTGGCCTTCGATCCAAGAAGCCTTTTATCTTTTTTCTTCCAAAAAGTGCTAAAAAGTATTAGTGATAGCCAGAGAAAACCCACAAAACCAGGGTTCCAGTTTTACACACTGTCCCCCACACACCACCCCCATCTCAAAACTTTTTAGTTGCTACATACCCATTTTCTTGCTTAGCTGTTGCTAATGAGCTAGAAGGTTCCCAAGCCTTGCAGTGTGCTTTACATCTTAGTCCAAGTCTCTGTTAATAAGTACAAGTAAGAACATCAGATCCCAACACACTTAATTTGCTCCAGCACCAGCCTTGATCAAAGCTTTTGTTACCAAAAAGAAATTCTTGTGTGCACACCATTTTTTTTGCCTTCAAGATGCTACAGCCATACTTTATAATGAATTCATGAACTCATTCTTTTTTAAACATTTTGGTGTCTGGCAGCATCCTATTTCCATCACAGGTCAAAGTGAAACCAAAAATTATCAGAGCAATAATTACCTGTTGGAATCATCTTACTCACACATATCCAGTACCAGATTTGGACTCCACAGCAAATGCAGTCTCCAGAGAGCTCTCTGGTGTCCAACTGGACACTGCTGATGGAGACTTGCACTGCCCTGTGATGCTGCCTTGTTACAGGGGTTTGTTAAAGATGGACTTTGCCTCATAAGCACTAAGGCTGAGTTGAAATTCTGACCTCTTTGTTTGGCAAGTTGAAGTGGAATTCTCACACAAAGTGTCCAGGTCTTCATAAAGCAGGATCTACAGATTCCAGTCTGCTGATGGCTCCGACTGCCACAACCTTTCCACTGGCAAAGCCACCTATTACTGCCAGAAGTGCTCCAACAACTGAGCTAACAGAAAAATATGATTCATTCACTGGTTTAGTAAATTTTCTTCGGTTCCATATAACCATTTCCATTGATCCCTCAAAAAGGACAATATTTTAATGATGAGATACTGATTTGCAAAAGAGTCATTTTAAGACAGTAAATACAGATAACACAGACCCTGGGCTGATTTCAAGCCTAGTGAATTGTTTTCAATTCTCATTTAAAAATCATCTGAAATTCACTAGCACTGAATTACTACTTTTCAGGTTCAATGAAAGTGTCACATCAAGTTAAATAGGTTGTGGTTTTCTTTTCACAAAGATCAAGCACCTTCTATACAGATACAAGACATGTCCCACCTATGAACCTGGTCTTGTTTGCTGGACCATACAGGAGCAAGAGGCATCGATCTCATCCGGGAAAACAATTGAAAGTCACATCTGGCAGGCCTACAAAGAAAACACAGGAACACTGACATCAGGAAAACAGCATTGTATGAAAGGTAAAATACATGAAAAACATTATGGTTACAAGAGCAGTAGAACTGGTTAGTTTGGGGGTTTTTTGAGGGGGATGGTGGTGCTTTGCAAAATTTTCTTGTTAGCATTATTAATATTTCCCAATACATCCTAAGATTTGCAGTCCTCCAAAACCCCACTGGAAAAGGAAACACTGAGAGTCCCATTTCTGTGGAAGGACCTGACAAAACATGAAAAAAACTTCTTCTTGAGCACAGAAAATTAGTTAGAACTCAGAACATGTGGCACATTTCAATCATACCTGCTCAAATAATAAACAAAACTGTCATTCATATTCTCCTACCCATTCACTCAGGCAGTTGACACATTTCTCATAAAAAAGATAACTCCCCCTTCACCCTGGCTACATTCATTAGCAAATGTCTGGTGCCAGTGTTTCTCTAGTCCCTGGTGTACCATAAAATAGGAAATCTCTGCAATTAAAAAAAAAAAAAACACACAAGAAAAACTCATAACGGAAAGGTGCCTATTATAACCCCCATCCCTAAAACTCACAGCTCAGCTCTCCTCAGCCAAACACTTCATGGACAACACAGCAATAAAAGTGTGAGAAAAGCCAAAATGGGTTCCTTTACAATTCAACAAGGCAGCAAAGGAAATTCATAAAAGGATAATGGATATGTACAAAACATTGAGAAAAGATAGTAACATTCCAGAAGGACACGTCCAACAGCTCTGACATACCAGCAGGGGTATGTCACACACAACACAGTGGAGCCAAACAAACTTCCAGTGCAGAAGCTGAGACCAGGATAACGTAGAAATCACCGGTTCTGCACATTCCTTCTCATTTTCACAAATGGCAAGATTTGAGAGTAAAGCATTTAACTGCCCCTTAAATAGCTTTAAATTTCTGGGTTTGGTCTCCCTTTGCAGGTGATAAAGAAGAAGTAATCTAAAGCTGGGAAGGTATTCTGCATTTCTGCATGTCCATCAGCTGGAAAAGCCAAGATGCTGCTGCTTCAAAATGAATTTCATTTAATAAAGAAGCAAAAGACAAAGATTTTCTTCTCATTGTTTGCAATGAAATGTTTAAAATCCCATTTCAATATACTATGACTGAATTTTGCTGACCAAGAATATATCATGTTAATAATTAAATATCTAATGATTTCATTTTGTAACACAGAACTCAGGTGTTACTCACCTGTCAGAAGTGGACAGATTCTTATTCTAGCCCAAGCACAACAAACACTGCAAGGTTCTAGTTGCAAGTTCTATCTGCAAAACTGATGCTTGAGTGTTTGAAAAAAACCCCAGAGCTTGTGGGAGAGACAAATGGACTTCCATGAGGCAAACTGCAGTTGACTACCAGTAGGTAATTCATTGTACATGAAACTCTAAGGGAAAAAAACTCAAACTCCAGCTTTTAAAGGCAAGACACCTTTAAAGGATTTACACAGTAAATCTCCGAACCTACATATATATGCTGGTTTCTATAAATTTTTTAAATATTACTTTTTAATTTTCTTAACACTACTTTTTACTACTGCTAAAAAACCCCTATTCAACAGTGCTGAAGATTTTGGAGCATTTTTATTTGTTAAAGAAAGCTGCAACCTCAAAGAGGTTCCAACAGAATTTTGATGTCAACACAAAGGAAACGTTCACAGCAATTTTCAAATTGCTGGAGAGAAACCTGTAAACCAAGGGAGCTGTAGACAGCCCATTACTGGAAGCTTTCATAAATAGTGTAAATGTCTCACTGACATGATGAAGTAAAAATCCTTACTGAAACAACTATTTGCATTGGCTCAAGCCCAGACAGATTTGCTTCAATTTTCACATGATCCCTGTGAAGATCTGAAGTGAAAATGCAAGCCCTGATACAGCTGTGTGCAAACAGTGCCCATTCAAAAGTCATAAGGCAGCACAGTGTAAGACATGTATTGCAGCATATCACTGCTATTTCATATTTTGTGAAGAAGATATTTCCTCCACCCTTAAAGCACAGCTCTGGCAAACTGACAGTAAGATTATAATTAGAGAGCAAAAATAAATGTCACTTTAGACTACACTATGCTTTGGAAGAAGTTTTTTTCAGCTAAATTAAAATTACAAATAAATAATCACTCTATGTGAAATAGTAAAGTAAATTAGTGTCTACTTCTTCCAGTAGACACTGGATGATCTCCCATTCTTTGCCTTCTATGCATCTTCTCTGTACAGCCAGTTTTTTCAAGAGTGCTTCTGCACTACTAACAAAGTTGACATATAAGAGCAAAGATAGATAAATACAAAAACCACCATTGAAACCAACACACATGATCTGTATGACATTTCCATATAGTGAATACAAAGCAAGAATTACTGGCATTTAGCTAAGTTTTTGAAACTATTTAAAAATTAGGTCAAATGTTTACTTTTTTATACTTAGGAAGAAGTGTTTGAGGATTTGCAAACAGACCATTTTCAGATGTATTTTCCCCTCTTGCTGAATAGAGTAAAAAAAACCCCATTGAGTAGGAAAAAAAGAATTCTGAAGGTATAGGAAGACAACAGAAAAAATTATGGCAGGCTTTCACAGCACCAAAGTTGCTTTGCATGATAACATGAACTCACTTTTAGTTCCTAGCCTTCCTCAGACAACCTGTTACTTATGTTACTTATTACTTAGGTTACTTATTCTTCTCTTAACCCGAGTTAAGGTCTTGTGCTGATTTTCTATGACTACATATGGTAGAAAAAGCATCTCACTGCTGTTAGTTACACTTTGCAAGCCTTTCAGAAAACAATGTCAGTTTGCACTTCATGGTGAGACTTAAAACACAGACATGCAGGCAAAAACACTAGGACTGCTTCTCTTTGCCTGTATCCAACTTTCTCCTGCATCTTAACTCAGCTGGGTGTTACAAAATTATTTGTAAGCATGAAAGAAAATTTAATTAACCATGAAGCTGCTTCTGATGCCAAGAAAATTGATTTAGAGGACAAGTAAAATCTACAGAAATTTACAACACAAAGAGATCTTTTTGGTTCACAAGAACCATCCCAGCCCATACATAAAAGATCCTCTGGTGTGAAGACCTAACTGGAAGTCTCAAAATAAAGACACTCGTGGCCAATTTAAATACTGGCTGTGCCCGAATTCTTTACACATGAAGCACCTGCCAAATATACCCTGCTGCACACAATCTGAGATTTGTGGCTTAAGCCACAAGCACCTGTTTCCAAAAAACTCATGTTAAACAGCTTGGCCCACACCTTATATAAATCAGTGCATGAAGAGTAATTACATGACAGCTCAGGCTGACACACTGCAAGGATTTGACAGGGAAGTGGAAGGCCAGACTGCCATGCTGCAGGGTGCTCCATGTCCTGCTCCCTTTCCTGTGTGCCTCTGCCACAGCAGGAGAAATCCAGCTCAGTGATGTGGCTCTTGCCTATGTGTGTCCCTGTCTGAGCTGGGATGCAAAATCCAGTTGAAAGTCACAGAAAGTTCAGCAGTTTCATGATTACTACTGGAAAGCCCCACTACCTATTTTTAATCCCCAGAAAAGCCAACCACATTATTGCTCAATAATGTGAAATTTGAAAAATGAAACTGCCATATTACATGTAAGTGAAATTTTCTTGAGAAAAAAAAAAAAAAGCCCATTGGGCCATTTTCCAGTGCAGACTTTGGCATTGGAGCAACACCATCGAAGTGAATGGTGCTGTACCCTGTTACCTGTCCTTGCTCCAAAACTCTTCAGAACCTCCCAGGCCCCCTTCCCCCCTGACAGCACCCATCAATGGCTGGAAACCCTGGAGGATCAGCGGAGCTGCCGAGCAGCCGGCTAGATTTGGGAAATACTGCTCTGGGTGACTCCATGTGTACACACAAAAAATTCCGACACAGAAGGTGGAAGGGGCTCCTTGTGCTTACAGTGTTTCTGGTGGGAGCCTTTCTGCCATAGTTTCTCCAGGCTTACCAGCAACTCTTCAGTCTGAGACATGTTACTAATTCCCTTCCATCTGCTGCGTAGAGAGAGGTGGTTAAAAACGTGCCCATCCCGAATTACCTCTGGGCGAGCATACTTAGAGCTAAGCACAAACCCGCGATCGTCCACAAAGAAAATGTCTTAGAAAAGCCCGACGAGGGAGCTGTCCGGCCCGGAGCATCCCGCTCCCACGAGGAGCCACCCCAGCCCAGCCCGGCCCGGCCCGGCCCGGCCCGGCCCGCCCTCCCCGCTCAGGGCGGCTCTGTGGGCAGGCAGCTCGCGGCTGAGGCGCTACTCCTTCCCGCCCAAGATGGCGGCGGCCCCGCCCCGCCGGGCGGTGTCCCGGAGCCCGTCCCCCGGCGCGGGGTGTATGACCGCGGCCGTGCGGCGAATAGGGCAGGCGGCGGTCGGAGCGGGCTGTACCGGGTGAGCAGCGTCGTCCGGCCGTGTTCCGGGCGGCCGTGGATCGGCTTGGGTTGGGGCTGACCGGGGAGTGAGAGAGAAACTTTCCTTGCGGAGCCCTTCTCCGCCGGGACTCCGGCCCCTCTCCCGCGGCCATGTTGAGAACCGGGATCTGCCCGGGGGGGGAAGGAGCTCCCCGGTGGGAGGCGGCGCTGAGCTCCGCTGTCCCACCGCGGGGCTGGGGCAGCGCCGCGTCCCGCCGGCAGGGAGGGAAGGAGGCGGCGGGGCGGGCAGGACCTGGGGAAGGAAGGGACGGCGGCGGGCGCTGGCTTGTCCCAGGGCACTGAGGGATTTGGGGGTCTCGGAAACGAGTTCGTCTTCGGGAAAGGGGAGGAACAACGACGGCGGCGGGCCCGCGGCGTTACGTAAGTGCCCGAAACTCCTCGACTCGTGACTCCGCCGAGGCGCCTTGAGGCGGCGGGACGGGCGGGCGGGCGGAGGGCGCTTCCTGCCCCGGCGGGCTGGCGGGGCCGCGCTGCCCCCGACCCTTCGCTCGCCCCGGGAAACTCCGTGTCGTTCTCAGAGCGAGTCGCCCGAAAAGTGTTGGTACTGTTGTGAAAAAACAGCGGAACCGCGAGTCGTGCGGCTGCGAGCATAAGGTGCCTGGTTTTTTTTTTTTCCTGTATGAAATTCGCCTGTTTTGAGGGGGATGTAACTGCTCTGCCGGAGATACGTATGGCTCATAAGCTGTTTTCTGAAAGTAGCTCGAGAAAAGACAGCTGCATGTTTTTCCTCTCGCCTCATTCGAAATACTTATGTTCATAGGCACCGATGTTTATAAATGGCAAAACTGCTCATCACGGCAAGAAAGCGATGGGTGAGTCTGCTGAGCAGCACGTCCTGGCATCGGCTTTGTCCCTACTAAGGGAAATAGCTGTAACTCGAGTTTTGACATGAAGCATCAGTACAATGGTTGTTGATAACCAAAAGGACCTTTTATATCCTTAACCAGAGATCAAGGATTGTCTTTTGGCTCAATTGATGCAAATGCTTCCAGAAGCATCATTAAGTTGTAATTCAGGCTGTCCTCAGGCTGTGCTAAGAGTTACTGAAAGGGTTGATGCTTATTTGAGAAACACTATAGCCGAAGCTTCAATGTGCCTAACAGCTTAAGGTCAGATGAGGTTAATACAGTAGGCAAAGTGACTCTAAAACCAGACCCACAACACAGGAATCTGTTTCAGAAGTGAGACTGCAAATTCCTCTTTCTCTCCTGAAATGAGGAGAACTTAAATATTCAGATCCTAAATTCTGATACTTGTATATTGAATTATTTTAGGGATGCCTGTCTGAAAGAAGGGAAGTATTTAAAGACAGCAGTATAATCGGCGCTGAGATCCTGCAGATTAATTGCTTTGTGTGCAGTCATCAGCATGCAGAATGGAATCGGTTCTTTAGCTCGGAAGGCAGTGCTCTTGCTTTTAGCCTCTAATCTAAATACTGTTGACTAATTCCAGTGGGTAATAGGAATCCCTGTGTTGTTAAATATCTTTTATATCAGCTCACTTTCTTGAATAATACTTTCTCAAGAGTTTTAGTGTCACCAATTTTGTTGAAAACAACAGTGAAAGTG